GAATGAACGCGTTGAAAAGCGAGAAACTATGAATGTCGCGAAATATTGGAAGACGGCTAGTGCTTCATGAAAAAGACATGTTTAGACAAATAAGAAAGTAACCTGTTACTCTCGAGTTCATTTTAAGTCTCAGTATCACCAAGAGTTTAGAGGAAGCTCCTTTCACCTCTTTCCACTTCAGCAGAGCGAACGCTGGACAGGGCACTCCTCCTCTCCGGTGTTCGCTCTGATGAAGTGGGAAGATGAAAGACAAGTTTCCCCTGAACTCTTGACCTGTCACCAACTATAGTCACCACAGCGAATAGCGAGTAACAATATTTAGTTACTTTGTTTCAGTAACTTCTACATGTGTGAGCTCGGCATCAAGAGTGTGTTTTGTGTCTGTGTGCATTTTCCGGTTATAGCAATAACTAGAGCCACGACATCAACAACGACATTGTGAAATACTGTCCTATAAAAGCCGCGGGTCTTATGGAGACTCCGGCTGCATTTTTCATGTAGTTTTAAAATGAAAGCAGTTTCTTCTGGTAAAAGCCGCGTACTCCGACCGCCAAGCCGCCACCGTCGGGCTCCTGTTGAGGTCGGCTGCGCTGCGTCGCCGGCTGGTATATTGATTTCGACACAGGGCTGAGGCTTCAATACGTCAGGGGTGGCTCTTACTCTTTCAGCGGCGTTTGCTTCTCGAACTGCGTTTTCGAGCACACGCCCAAGAACTGCGTCTATTTTTTTTTTCTCTCTCTGTCTCTCTCTTTCTTGGTGGCCTCGGCGACAGACTCAATTTCGGTCTTACAGGAACATTTTATGCGCCGGGCAGTGTACCTCTCTTATTGAGTATACTCGCGTCTGGATGTTTTTCAAGCAAGCCGAGGAAATAAAATCCTGTTGTTGTTGTTGTTGTTTTTTTTTTGAAGCATTCTCTTCAATTTTTTTTTTTTTTTTCATTCTGCCAGCGATGCAGGGATAAGTGTAAGTGGAGTAGACTACTACTAAAAATCCCTCCACGCAACACCGCGTACGTTGCATTATGGGACCCAGTTGGCCACGGAGACGAGTGCCACGGTTTTAGTTTCGGTTGTCCCGTTCACGAAGTAGTGCAGCTCAGCACTGCATAAACATAATTTCAGCGCTCGCTCGCATTTTCAATACCCATTCTTCTTCGCGAAAGCCCCCGTTGAAGCACGGAACTCCAGCGGTCGTAAGGGCCTGCCTAGGCGTAACGAAGAAATAGGAGTACGGCCTGTTGCGTCCCATAACTTTCTGATGGCCTGACTACCACTACAGGGTGCAGCACGACTCTCCAGGCTCACGGATAATTTGAGAAGCCGAGGACATTGAGGAGCCGATGGAACACGATGACCGGTCCAGCGTGCTTTTTCTTCCAAGTGCCGTCGTCGTCCTGTTGTTATCTGCTCACGAACTCCGGCTGGTGGGGAGCTCGTAAAACACTTGCCACACCAAACCATTCGTATCGGTAGGCAACCCCTACGGTATTATAAATTTAAGAAAAGTAGTGTATTAAAAAACATTCAAGCAGTGTATTGTGTCGTCACGTGATGTTGTGAAGTGAGGTTGGCCAAACGAAAATGAAACTTAGTGGCCAACCAGTACCCAAAACGCTTCGAGTGGCATCTGGCCACCATGGCCGCTTCAATTGTGCAATATGTCTATTAACCAACTTACAGGCGACCGTAGTAATGCGGCAGGCTAGACTGCTTAGCAAAAAGAATATAGAGTGAAACGATGACGCGTTGAAGTCATAGAGTTATTACAATAAACGCTAGAGGCTCAGCTGGCGCTAGTGTGCTGTTGCAAATTGAAGCAGACAGCAAGCAGTCAGAAATTGACTTCCGGTAATGCATTTCTATGGGAAAAAGCGAGCGCATTTTCTCTCTGCGTTCGATTGTAAGAGCAAATATCACGAATAATTTGTACGTACTAGGCACATTGGAACATTTCTCAGTCACGCAGACGAAATAATTTGTCAGTTACAGCATTTTTATTTGAAATTCGCGGCATTAAAAACGGTGTTAAAACCGCTTCGTACGTGTATTTATGTGCACTGTCGGACACTGTTAGCGCGAACACGGCGTCGACGCTTTCCAGCATGGGGGATATACGTGCCAAACGAACGAACGACATGTGAAAAACCAAGAGAGACGGCAAGAACTACGCAGTAACACTGGGTAAGTAACTCCTAGTGCTTGCAGACGATCAAAATAAGTTGAAAGTCACGTAATATAGTCCGATTTGCAATAAATAAGTACTGCTTTATTCTTTCTGCTTATGAATATGTGCGAAGATGCTTGTTCTGTGTTCAAATCATCACCCGCACGCTCCAAATCTTTGCAAATAGGGGGAAGCCAGAGGACAGGTGCGCGATAAAAACTGCCCAACATAGGAAATAATAAGAAAACACACCTTTCGTAGCCCACGTACTTTATTCTTTACGTTGCGAACGTTTTTGTTTAACGGCTCATAAAGAGACACGACGGGGTCATTTTTATATAGTGAGAGGACAGGCATATTAGCAATATATAACCACCAACGGAATGCTGGCGAACTTTGGACACACTCTACATTCCTTTCGATCGTTATTTTGCTTAGAATCGTCGCTCGTTTCTACATACCTGCCATGGAACAGAGGTTTGGGCCTGAAATATAACGAAGTTTAGCATCGTTCAGTGGTAAAGGAAAAATGCTGTAACTAAAACAATTACACTTTCACAATATTAATAAAGCTACATACTACCCGGTACAATCGAAATAACAAAAGTTATTAATGTTATTTTCCGGCGACGAGACAAAATTCACGCGCGTTTTCCCATAGGAATACACAGGAAGACTGGAAAAGTAGACTGCATGCTGTCTGCTTCAATTTGCAACCGGAAGTCCCATAAACACTAGCGCCAGCTGAGCCTCTAGCGTTTCTTATAATAACTCTATGGTTGAAGTACGGAATATTAGCTGCAAGACAGCACTTGTGAATTGTCTGCGTTCGCCTTTTTTGTGCCTGTTATCCTGCGCTGTTTTCTCCTACGACTTTATGGACTTTACGAGCACACTCAAGCATACACAGCTTTTCCGATTTTAACTGGCATTATTTTTTTATATGTTTTATCGGTTTGGATAAGACCCCCCCCCCCCCCCCCCTTCAGGCTAATTCAATCCCGTGAGTCAAATATTTTCCCTAATTTTTCTAGATCGCTGATATCGTGAACTGTTTTTTTTTTATTATAAAGAAGTAATACCGGATTCATGAAATATAAATAAAAATTCGTCATGTTATGGAGCATAGGTAAGCTTTGCTTGTATGAAGACAATCCTTGATAAATCTTTTTAGACAAAATCGATGTACTTCACGAATGTAATATTTGAATCCGATTCAGTTGAAGATTCTACGCCTAAACATGGAACACGCCTATTGTCAACAGTGAAATCAAGGGGACTAAATTCAGCATGAGAGTTTTTTTGAAACGTATTCAAAAACTCCCGTTGAATTATATCCTTCTGGAAAGACATTGTCAGGTCCAAAAATCAAACTCAGTCGACTCGTCACCTCTTTTTGTTTGCAGCGGGGGTACACAGAAATGGGCATATCGTGATTGAATTACACATCGACGACCAAAAGCGTATGTTTTTCGACGCGGTGTGAACAAATCTCTATTCATATATTTATTATTTATTTATTTTAATAATATTTCCGGCCTACTTTTGTGGACCAAGGCATGTGAGTACATATGTGACACACAGCAGCAGAACTCCAGTTATACATGGCTTCAAAAAACATAGTTGAGAAAAAGGGGAAGGAATATAAAAGAGACGTTTCCCGATAAACAGAGGTAACACTTGGCAATAATTTGTCAAGTGGATTTTCAAAACTCCATCTAAGGCGCTGACAAACGAGTAGAATGCGGCACTGCCTGTAATGCTGTGAGGCAGGTTATTCCAGTCTCGGACAGTTCTAGGGGAAAAAAAATAGTAGTTAAAAATGTATTTTCTACATTGAAAGTCTCGAGGAAAAGTTTCATGCTTCTGCCGTGTGACTCGACTGAGATAAGTGTCGGTGTAGCGTGTCGTATCTGTCGATTAAAAATTGAAAATATAAACCTTACTCTAAATACCATTATAACTTTTCACACGCACTAATCAAATTGCGATTTGAATTAAGTGTCCCGTAATATAATATGAATATTAGACAGACTCAAAAACTGTGTGTGGACCGCTACACGACATCCCATTCGACCAGCCGCCAAAATGAATACACTGGAACAAAAGTGATCCCAGCAGCATAATAAATCCGAGACTGGAAACAAATAAAAAAACGGACAACCACTCCTACCGTACACAAGCTTGCAGTGTTTTCCCATACTTTTCGTTAGCGTTCACTTATGCATTCATGACTTCGTAAGAGGCTACCGTATTTGTTCGAGTAATAGCCGCATTTCTTACGAACACAGCCCCATGCGTCAACCTTTCAGCGGAACACACATACAGCCAATCAAGGACACAATTAATCATAAAAATGCTATCTGAGCAAGACTGCGTTTCGCGTGAAGACGTTCTCTCTGTACCGTATATCGATGCCATTTTTCTGCCGATCGCGATGACTAGCTCTCCCTCTGCTCCGCGGGAAAGCAGACCCGCAGGCGTTGTTCATAAACAGCGCGGCTATCACTCGAGTGAATAAGGTAAATCAATTACCGTAAAGTTCCGAGAGAACGCCCCCGCCCGAAACCTCGCCCACCCACCTTTTTGGACGAAATATATATTTTAATAAAGTTCCCAAACATCGCCCACCCCCTAAAAATCGCAGTAGCTTCGACGCATTCGAAAGCCCGGGAAGCCCCCGCCGCGAACATACCTCTGGAAAAACCGATGACTCGTCCGCAAACACCGCCAGTGACCCGATTTCTACCAAAAGAGAAGATCTTTTCCGGTTAGATTGATAAGATAAGGGCGAACTAGAAGTGAATCATTCAAGACGTCCGGGTATAAAGGAAAAGAAGAAACAGCTCAAGCAAACAAACTCCACACTAGTAGACAGTCATTCCTCTGCGTGCCCCGCAGCTGTTCACCTGCCCTCGCTTCCAGCATCGACCATGAGGAATAGCTACACCATCCAGAGAAAGGTGGAAGTTGTCCAGTGGCACAAGAAGAATGGAGACAACGTAAGCAAAACTGCAAGACATTTTGAGCTGGACAGGAAACGTGTTCGCGAATGGAGCACCAACTACCAGTCCCTTCTGCAGCAGTGCCACGGCAAAAACAAATTCAAGAGAGCCATCAACAACGGACGGCCGGTCTTCAGCGAAGAGCTCGATGAAGCACTCATGGACTTCTTGGATACCGAGCGGGCGGCGGGGCGAGCGGTGAGCAACCGCGTCCTTCAAGAGCACGCACGCAAGTTGGCGGTTCAGATGAACCTGGGCAACTTCGAAGCTTCGAACCACTACCTGGCCCGCTGGAAAGCCCGCTTCAATGTGTCGATGCGAGTGGGGACGAACGAGAGTCAGAAGCTGCCGGCTGACTACGCTGACGCAATCTCCGTCTTCCGGAGGGCTGTGGGAAGCCTGCGCCTGGAGCACAGTTACTCCAACTTTAGTATAGCCAACATGGACCAAACCATGGTACGCATGGACTGCCCAGCCAAGCGGACAAACAACGTTGCCGGCGAATCAAGCATCCGCATCGTGAACACAGGCTGTGCGCGTCGTGGACTGACGGTTGCACTCTGTGCAACAGCTGCGGGCATCAAACTCCCGGCTCTCATCGTGCTCAAGGAACCGACGGGCCGGATCCCGCCAAGGGCACTGTTCGCACTTCAAATCCCAGGTATTGTCTCAATTTCCGCGTGCGGCCAATGTTACTTCTGGTTTGCCCAAACAAATTTCAGCATAAAAATAAGTTGAAAACATGCACTCACGCATTTCGCATAAAAAAAAAAAAAAAAAAAAAAAGTTTTAGGACAGCGTTGTTTTGTGAACGATATAAAAAGCGCCTTCCACATGTATTTGTGCATTTCTAGTAGAGGGCGCTGCATGGGTTCGTCACAAGTTTTGTTTTTTCATCAATACCGTCAATACTACGCAGCGATGCGGCGATGCTTTCGTGTTTGCGGCTGCTCCGGTTGTTGGTGGTTGGCTTTGCCGGAGTTTGGAATGAAACCGAATCTCGGCTCCTTTCAGAAAATGTGAGAGTGACCTGTTCAAGGAACGGATGGATGACTACGCCGGTCTTCCTCGAATGGGTGCGGAGGGTGTGGGGTGCCAACAAAGACGACGTGAGGCGGCTGCTCGTCTTGGACCAGGCGCCCATTCACAAGACAGAGGCAGCGCGGGAGGCCCTCGACGGGAAGGAAACCGACGTTGTCTTCATTCCTGGCGGGTGCACGTCTATTCTCCAGCCAGCAGACGTGTGCTGGATGAAGCCCTTCAAAGATGCTCTCAGGAATCGTTGGTCCTCCTTCTTGCGGGAAGGGGCTGTCACCGCCAAAGGGAACCTCAAGAAGCCGTCGCGTCAGGATGTCGTCAGCTTCGTGTCCGAGGCTTGGGCATCTCTATCGGAGGAGGCCGTCCTGACGTCGTTCAAGCGCTGCGGCATCTCAACACGCCTCGACGGCTCAGAAGACGGGGAGTTGAACCACCGCCTGGCCTCTGTAAGCGACGAACCAGCGATGGGGCCCGAAGCTCGGGAGAGCATAGTGGACGAAGTAGTGCAACTCGTCTTTGACAGCGACAGCGATGAGTCGTTCGATGGATTTAGCGATGACGAGTGAGCAATAAATGCGTATGCACCGCTGATCTGTCAAATGCAGCCATTTTTTTTGTAGTTTTTGGCCCTTGGCCCGAAACTTCGCCCACCCCATGTTTTTCACCATTTATCTCTTAATTTTGGGTGGGCGTTCTTTCGGAACTTTACGGTATACACATATTTGGCGTCCTCGCATTTATGTGTCAATTCAATTGAAGCATCAGTTTAAACATTGTGGGATTCGCCCTTTTGGGGGTTACCACTTAGAAACACAAAGAGTTCCTTAGGTCCGCATAAAGACGTGTTTATTGACTGCAATGTCAGCACGCTTCGCTCTTAGACAATGAAAAGTCTGGGCGCTGGCTCAATTGCCAGTATCACCCGGTCGGTTTCCCGCGCTGCCGCATTAGACAGATTCACGGGAAGTCGGAGGCCCACAAAGAAAAACCAAGCTCCGTAGAGCCAGGGCCTCCGCCGACGAGAGCCCCTGGCCCACCTTCGGGGCCAGCTTATGTAGCCTCGGAGAATGGACGCGCCCGGGGAGGCCACTAGCAGTCGCATCCATTATAACTCTCAAGGGTGTGCCGAAGGCGCGTTCACCCAAATGGGCAAGGGAGAGCCGGCCCCTTCGGGGAATTCGGCCTCGTGGTTCCTTGTATCCGGGAGGCCGACGCCATTGGTGACGACGACTCCCACGGCCTGCTTGAAGCTAGGCCTGGATAGGGATAGAGGGAACCCAGTGGTTCCCACAACATATATGTCTCGCAATTACCTTTAACTTGTTTTGTTTTGTTGTTTGTTAAGATTGACACGAAGAAACCGAGAAACCTTCGAGTAGCAGTTGTTGGTAATTAAAAACTTCGCGAAATGCTCAGAACTTTGAAAAGCGTCTTAATTTGTACCATGCGCAGTTTTCGGCTGACAGTTTCTAAGGGCTGCCATTGGTTCACATTATCTTCCAGTTCATTCGGGCGTCACAAGCAAAACTGCTCCATTTTCATAGATAGGTTCGTTTGTTTCTTCCAACAACGCTCTGCCGAGTAATGTTTCTCGTACAACGCTGCCATTAGGTTCGTTCATGTTCCGAGGTCCACACGTTTTCAAAACTGCTCGATGCAACTTTGTTCGCCATTACTTCGTTACGACGCCCTTACTGATACTCTCTATTCTCTAGACACGTTTTCCGATTATGATTTACGCCACCGTCTCTCTCTTTTTCTTTTTTTCAGCGCGGATGGATGCGAAAACGAAAGAGGAGAAATATTGCGTTATACCAGACGACCGAAGAAGTAATCGAGGGAATTATATGGTGCTAAGGAGAATAAACAGAACGAACAAAATAGTAAAAGAAGAAAGGAGGCGCTCGTGACGCGTGAAGTTACGTCACGTAACTTGAAGTTATGTGACTACTGCTAAGCTGAGGATCGTCATACGACACCTTGACGTCAAGGGGGTTACATTCAAGTCGCGAACATGAAAGTGTTAAAAGCTGGCAATAGGAATTATACGCTTTTAAGAAACAAAAATGAACTCAAACGAGACAAAACGCTACTGTGTTTCAAGCTGATCCGTATGAAAGTCGCCAACAAGTCGTCGCCTGTTATGTTCATGCTATTTACTTTGTGCTTCGTTCTTCGCCGTTCTTGTAGGCTAATGTTGCAACATCATTGGTTGCTGTACGACAACAAAGCGCTTAGGACTCAGCATGTTTTGCGTCCCCCAAGTTGTCCACGAGTTTAGTAGCAGTGTTTCAGTTAGCAAGTAGCGTGCAGCGTGCGATTAAAGCATAGGGTAAAAAGCATGACTCTGCAGCATGCCCTTAAAACATCGGGTACAAAAGCCTAATTGTGCAGTTTGCTTCTACAGCACGAGCACTCAAGCGTAGAAAACTCGAGTAAAATTCGAGCGCTCCCCACCTGTTTTTTGCACCACATTGAACATATATCAAGTTGTGGGAACCAGAAGTTAGGTTTCAGACATAAATATATATACAGGTATTTACAAGCGGAATGAGACTGCAGTTCGCATCGCCCGATGCCGCCGCTGAGCTGTTCCGTTGGTGTCTCGAGAAACATCTGGCGCGCGTGTCCCGAGCTCAGCGCTTGCCGACCTCTTCTTCTTCTCTGTGGCACGGCTACCACAAAGTCATGTCATTTTTTTTCAACTCCGTATACTATCGCGTGACGAAAAAAAACATAAAAAAACGTGGTATCTTTGTATAGTGCCAAATAGATCCAAAGTACTAACCCAAACCACGAGCACGTAACCACTATCACACCGTGGCATGCTCGCTTCTCTATAAACTAGAAGAATAAAAAAAAAAATGGAAGAACAAATTTGACTGCAAAAAGCGCTAGGTGTGTTTGTGACCGATAAGGGGGCTATATATAAAATGTTTTTCGTTGCGTCCGTCACAACACACCAGGTGGAAAGAAACTTATCGCCTTTGACAGTGCAAAACACATCTGGATTTCTTTTACTTTTTTTTTTATAGGCGGTTAGCAACTATACGCATGCGGTTATTGCAGCCAGTAAATTCTTACTCTTTTCGGGCTGTGAGCTTGGGAACATATTCTTATCTTTCTGTGCCTGCTGCCATTTATATAGGAAAAAGAAAGCGGCACACATGGAAACTGGGTTACTTTTCTTGGTAATCGTAAGCGCTCCAAAGCAGAATAGTAGTAAAAAAATGATTTGCTCTTTCCACTTTTGCAATATCTATTTAAAAATAAATCCAACCTGGGATTGTCGAAATAAAAAAAAACATTTAAGACTGATAGAAACATGTAAGTGGTAGTTAAATGCAATGATAGCTGTGATAAAAAACATTCAAGTTAAACCATTAAGATTAAACTTATTTTTTTTTAACTCAGCCAAGTTTCACGTTTTTTCCAGGCACCGCATTTAAATATAAATACTTTGGCATATTTCAACATATTGCACAGTAACAGTGTGTTAATAGGAGCGGTTGAAGTTCAACGTAAGCGGCTAGACACCTTAAGATTCGCCGATCCCACTGCGCATGCGCTTGTAATCCGTTAACAACTCAGATTCAAATTTCGTCTACTTGGGATGCTGGGAGAGTTCGTTCAAACGGGCAATGATTCAGGAAAAATAAGAAGGTGGCGGCCTCGGTGACAAACCCCGAAGAGCCTAAGGCTAAGAAAAGCCCAAACGCGATTCGTCACTCTGATACACTTCCCCTAATTTGAGGTGTCGAAGCAAATTATTTCAAAGAGCGATTCACAATGACAACTCCGGGTGAGGACTGTATAAGGAGCGCCCATGAGTGAACGCGCATGAGTCAGGCTAACTGCAGCATATTTTAAATGTGACGTCGTTTCTATAACTACGTGAAAATGAATAAGCTATGGTGACGAATAAAATAAATATAAGCAACATACACATGAGTAGACAAAAAAGAAAAAAAAAAACGAGATGGTATTTTCACCGCACATGAGTTCATGAAATTGTGTTATATCATCTTCGATGGCTTTGTGTGCAGGCATGTGATTTCTGTTTATGATTGTTCGCGGTATGTATGATCTTGCGCAATAAGGTGAGTAGCATGTGAAGCGTTTAATTTTCAGTGATTGATGAGGACGTGAAAAGACAACGTGAGGAGCCTGAAAACAAAATCGTGGAGCGATTTAGGATGATAAAGTTTGTGGAACAGTTATAGACGAGCAAGTTTTCGGCACTATATTAGGTCGTGCAACGGGGCACGATTTTTATTATTTTTTTAAATTTTGTCGCACTGAATAGGGGTGATTAATCAAAAAGAATGAAACAAATATTTGGTTTTGCAAGGACGCAGTGATATTTATCATGAAAGCCTGGTCAGGATCCCATACGGCAGTAGCGTATTCAATGTGGTTGCGGGTTGGTGTGATGGAGTCAAGCGCACTTAAATTAGGAGGAGAATGTTTCATACTCTGCCTCATGAGACCAAGTGAAAGATTAGCAGATTCAAACTTTCAATTGTTTTCTATAGAAATATGCACAGTATAACAATATATAAATACATTATATACAGGTCTAAGGTCTACTCAATCTACCTATTTTCTCTGCAGTGGTGTACTCCAGTTTATACGAATCGCCTCTCCGAATCTGCCTAAATTCTGCTGCTTTACACGCAGCCTATTTTTAAACGTATACTAGAAGTAAATGACAATGCGTACAACTTAGCATGATCAAACTTGAATCGCACTTTACCTTAGAGCGAGTGTGTATTATCTGTGGTGCTTGAAACGTGTGTGAGTGAAATGAATGGGCATGCGTCCTATTTGTGGATCAATACTAAATAAGGAGCACCCAAATTTATGCTTACGTTTTCACTCAAATAGGGTAATTGAAACGCAAGGTGTCACAATAGGTATGTACCTGACATGAACAGATAGGAGGAAAGTTAAAAGTCGGGTGGCACTCATTTGGTCGGACGATATTTTAGCCAACACCGAGTTTTCATCGAAAGACGCTTTAGGAAATTGTCTGCCTCCGCGAAGAGGCGTTTACGGGCGGGCCAGGTGGGTTAACATTTTTTTTTGTTGTAATAGGCCACCGCAGACTGTAGCCGCGATGCGGCGTCAACGCACCTTATAGCAGTTTAGCGAGCCTTTAAAAAAAGCAATTCGAAGATGTTTCATTTTCTGTCTGGCATATATTACGGACAATAATAATTTAATATCTAGTTTATATTTCTTTGTGGGTCAAGTAATAACTACTGATGCTTGAAGAAAGTTCATAAAAACGGTAGGAGTACCATTTCCTATTAATGTCGCACATGTACTTCTTCGCTTATTTCTTTCTTGAACAGAGGTTCACTTCTTGAAATATATGGTATGCTGCACATCATCGAATTTTAAAACCCGGAGAACTTCATTTTTACTTTGAGAGCTGCGTTTTGTGTTGAGATTATATATTTATTTACGCAGTAGCTGTTTAATAAATATTAAGTGCAAATTCGCGTCGCAAATGCACTTCGGGTGTGGCTCTATTTGCATAAATGCATATTCACGAAGTAAAAAGGTCTGAGATGATTAAGTGACATTATTGGTTGTTTTGTCACGAAAACTTCTCGTCATTATGCAGTGCCATAAGCCTGCCTACTCCCGGATATATCTGCCAAGTTATTAAACGTCCATCAGAAACTCGATAACGTTT